GAAATAACAAAACTGAATCACACCTGCAACCAAATGGATTTGATAGACATATACAGAATGTTCCACCCAACAACATCAGAATACACATTCTTCTCAGCAGTACATGGATCATTCTCTAAAATAGACCATATATTAGCTCACAGAACATATTTAAACAAATGCAAAAGAGTTGAAATCATCCTGTGCATGTTATCAAATCATAGCGCTCTGAAATTAGAAATTAATGATAAAAGATACTGCAAAAATCCCGCAAACACATGGAACTGAATAACACACTCTTGAGTAATCAGTGGGTCACAGAAGAAATTAAAAAATACCGTCCTCAGAGGAAAATTTATTGCACAGAGTTCCCACATCAGGAAAACAGAACGAATACAAATAAATAACTTCATGCTAAACCTCAAACAGCTAGAAAAAGAAGAGCAAGTCAAGCCCAAAGCCAAAAGAAGAGAGGAAATTATAAAAATCAGAGCAGAAATCAATGCAATAGAGACTAAGAAAACAATCCAAAGAATCAACGAATCAAAGAGTTGGTTCTTTGAAAGGATAAATAAAATCGATAAGCCCCTAGCCAACCTTATTTTAAAAAGGGAAGAAAAATCTCAAATTCATGCAATAAGAAATGAAAAAGTTGAAATCACTGCAGACCCAATAGAAATACAGAAGGTCATCAACACCTATTTCGAAAACCTCTACTCTCAAAGGTTTGATAACACAGAAGAAATAGACAGATTCTTAGAAACATATGAAGTACCAAAGCTAGATACAGAGGATGTAAAACTGTTGAATAACCCAATCTCTATTAATGAAATTGAAAATGTAATTAAGTCCTTACCTACAAAGAAGAGCCCAGGCCCAGGTGGATTCACTTCAGAATTCTACAAGAAATACAAAGAAGACCTAATGCCGACACTCCTCAAACTCTTCAATGAAATTGAAAGGGAAGCAATCCTTCCTAAGTCATTGCTGGAAGCAAATATTACTCTAGTACCAAAACCTGAGAAAGACCCAACTAAAAAAGAGAACTATAGACGAATCTCCCTAATGAACACAGATGCAAAAATCCTCAATAAAATATTGGCAAATAGGATGGAGCAAATCATCAAGAAAATTATACATCATGACCAAGTGGGATTCATCCCAGGAATGCAAGGATGGTTCATCATACATAAATCAATAAATGTAATCCACCATATCAATAATGCCAAAAGTAAGAATCACATGATCATTTCTATAGATGCAGAAAAAGCCTTCAATAAGGTCCAACATTCATTCATGATAAGAACTTTTCAGAAAATTGGAATAGATGGTCTTTACCTCAATATAATAAAGGCCATTTATGACAAACCAACAGCCAGCATCATACTAAATGGCCAAAAATTGAAAGCCTTTACTTTAAAATCAGGCACAAGACAAGGATGTCCTTCATCACCACTCCTATTTAATATAGTACTGGAAGTACTAGCCAGAGCAATTAGGCAAGAGAGAGAAATAAAAGGGGTAAAGATAGGAAAAGAAGAAGTTAAATTATCATTGTTTGCAGATGACATGATACTCTATATAGAAGACCCCCTAAACTCCATTGAAAGACTCTTAGATACAATAAATAAATTCAGTAATGTAGCTGGATACAAAATCAATACTCAGAAATCAATAGCATTCCTATACACGAACAACAAAATCACAGAGAGGGAAATAAGGGAAACCACACTCTTCACATTAGCAAGCAAAAAATTGAAATATTTAGGAATTACTCTTATGAAAGAAGTGAAAGATCTATACAAGGAAAATTATAATACACTGAAAAAAGAAATTGAAGATGATCTCAGAAAATGGAAAGACATCCCTTGCTCATGTATAGGAAGAACAAACATTGTGAAAATGGCCATTCTCCCAAAACTGTTATACAGATTCAATGCAATCCCAATAAAAATATCATCAACATACCTTATAGATCTAGAGAAATCACTCCTAAAATTCATCTGGATCCAGAAGAGACCTAGAATAGCAAAGGCAATTCTAAGCAGCAAAGGCAAGGCAGAAGGCATCACAATCCCTGACTTGAAGTTATACTACAAAGCAACAGTAGTAAAATCAACATGGTATTGGAATCAAAACAGAGCCGAAGATCAATGGAATAGATTAGAAGATACAACCACAACTACAAACACACTCAACCACCTTATCTTTGATAAAGGGCCAAGCAGGTTCACTGGAAGAACAAGAGTCTCTTTAATAAATGATGCTGGAAAAACTGGCTCTCCATTTGCTGAAAACTAAAGCTAGACCCATGTCTATCACCATGTACTAAATTAAAACCTAAATGGGTCAAAGATCTGAATATTAAAACAGAAACACTAAATCTATTGGAAGACAAAATGGGTAGAAACCTTGAGGACATGGGAGTAGGTAGAGAATTCATGAACAGGACTCAAACCGCACGGGAAATACTTCCCAGAATCAATAACTGGGACCACTTCTTATTAAAAAGTTTCTACATGACAAAAGAAATCTCCAGCATAGTGAAAAGAAAACCCACAAACTGGGAAAAGATTTTAGTGAACTCTCTCTCAGACAAGGACTCTTGTCTAAAACATATAAAGAATTAAAAAAACTCAGACCCCCAAAATTCAAAGATCCAATCCAAAAATGGGCATCTGAGATGAATACATGAATACGCACTTCTCAGATGAAAAAATACAAATGGCAAATAAATACATGAAAAAATGTTCATCATCATTGGTCATTAGAGAAATGCAAATTAAAACCACACTGAGATACCATCTCACTCCTGAAAGAATGGCCAGGATCAAGAAAACCAACAACAACAAATGCTGGAGAGGCTGTGGGGAAAAAGGAACTCTCCTGCACTCTTGGTGTGAGTGTAGACTGCTACAACATTTGTGGAGGTCAATCTGGAGATTTCTCAAAAAGCTGACATTGGAAGTCCCATTTATTCCAGCTATTCCACTTCTAGGCATATTCCCAGAAGAACTGAAAGCATCATCCCACAGTGATATATGTGCACCTATGTTTATAGCAGCACAATTTGTAATTGCCAGATCTTGGAAACAACCCAAGTGTCCATCAAGTGAGGAATGGATAAAAAAGTTGTGGTGTTTCTATACAATGGAGTATTACTCAGCTATAATGAAGGCTTACATTGAGATATTTATCAATAAATGGGCGCAGCTTGAGACCATACTCATAAGTGAAAGAAATCAATCTCGCATGTGTGAATACCGAATAGTTTCCCTAATGTAAGTAATGATTCAAATATATAAAAATATGTGGTAATCATGATTCCCCATTATGTGGCCTTGAAGCCTTAGAAAGTTTTCACTTATTAATTGGAAAGGCTTTATTCTTGGCTTCTTGATATGGAAATATTTGAAGCTATAGTATATGAAGTTTTATCCAAATATTTCAAGGAAAAAGACAGACACTATGGTAACTACTATTAAGTTGGGTTATTTGGTGGTGAAGCACTAGGTTGCTGAAATAGTCATGCTTTCACCTGTATTGTTATATTGTTATGTCCTCTTTTATCTCAATCTCTCCCTTATTCGTTAAAAAAATTTAGTTATTTCTTATTTTTTTTAATTAAGGGGAAAATTTTTAAAAATTGGCAGGATATATAATAGTAACTTTTTTTGATTTCCTATTAACTTGTTTTGAAGTCCTGTAATACTCCCACTATCTTGTTTTGACTGATCAGACTCTGTTCCATTCTGTATGATAGTATCAAGTTTGAGGGTATAGGCAACTACTTTGAAGGCAATAAGATTCATTAAGATGCCCATTCTAGTTTGACTATTGTCTCCTTTGGAAGTCCTGTAATGTTTACAATGCTTAAGTTTTATTGGTCTTGTTCTCTACTGTTTTGTTCAACTTTATAATACCTAATGAGATAGACAATTCTTTTTCAGGAAACAAGAGACATTATGGTAACCATTGTTGATAACCTTGTACTCTGTTTTTACATGATGTACTATGTCTATCCTTGGTTTTGACTGACAGCTTTGTTTTGCCATATTTGACTTTATTCGCTCCCTCCCAAAAAAAGTAATAAGAACTAAGGAGTAATAAAACCCAAAATGTGTAAATTTTGTTGTAAAAAAGAGAAGGAAAAAAAGTGCTCTAAAAGATACAACAGCAAGTGTGTTTAGGGGTGTTAAATAGCTGACCATATTAATGTTTTTGGTTGGATCATTGAACACAACTGTTTGCAGTCTCACTGTTTGAATGTCCACTTTGTATGCTTTGATACTGTGACTTGAGCAACTATCTCTAAGATGATAATATGTAATCTATTAACTGGTGATTTCTTACTGTTTTTTGTTTTTTGTTTTTTTTGTAGTTCTGTATTACTTGTACCCTTATACCGCTTTGTTTTGTTTTGTTTTTTGTTTTTCCTTTTAAATAAATAAATAAATAAATAAAGGTGAGGTAGAAGGGAATCCCCCATATTTGCTGTATTGCATACCATCATCCTCCCACGAGATGCTCAGACCACTGACCCCAGCCCTGCATAACCAACTGAACAATCCAAGCATTTAGTTGCTTCGTGTGCCTCAGTTGCTAAACTCAGGCGGAGCTCAGAGCCGTCCAGGTGCTGGGGTGGAGGTGGGGGTATAGAAGGTGTTTGATTCCGGGCAGCGCGCAGGTCAGGGAGGAGCCATCTGACGTTCCCCTCGCTGCACCCTGAGCGGCTTGCGCAGCTTACCAGGAAGGCTGCTTAGCTGATCTCTTGGTTGGTCCCCAAGTCCCAACCGCCATCTTTATAAATATTATCATGCTGCAGAAACCAAGTGTGAGTCACTCCAGTTCCCAGGAACTCGCCCTTCACCTTCACTCTGTTGTGATGACAATTTACGTGCGATCTTCTGTCGCCAGGTGTGTGGTGTAAAACTGCCAATAAATAACCTGAAGTCATAATAGTTACTATCTTCCTGGAAGGGAACAGAAGTCGGATGCAAAAAAAAGAATGAGTGATTCCATTTTAGCTGTAATATATTATGTCTTTTATTTTTTAAAAAAGTTTGAAACAAATATGAAGAACGTTAGGATTTATAAATCCTGTACAGCAAAAACTTATTTTTGTATTTCCTGCATTTTTCAGATTTTACCCTCCCACATTCTCCACACGTCATTATTCTTTATGACCATGAAGTTTATCCTAGGAGAAAGGTTGATACAAAGCTGAGAAAGTAATTCATAAACCACTGCATTAGTAAGCTTAAAAACATAAAAAAAATTATAGTAAAATTATTACATGGTATAGAATCTGAAATCATAAACAGTGTCTTTTTCTTCCTTAGGCACTCATTTACCCTTCCCCAGAGCCAAACACAGTTGGGAGTTTTCAGGTATATTTCCAAAGATACTGCAGTGCCCAAAAAACATAGTGATCAAAAACATTAACACCATTAAAAGACAAAATGGAAACAGTTTAGTTCAATTCTGTAAGACAGTCAATGCATTTATGCTTGCAAACATATACCTGTATCAAGACATATCTGGCATGTTGCTTTATTCACATATACTACTCTTTTTGTTTGTTTGTTTGGTTAATTGGAGCTTTTTCTTTGTTCTTATTTGTTTTATTTTGGTTTGTGCGTTTTTGTCTTTGCTTTTTGATACTGGGAATTGTACTCAGGCTCTTTACATTGAGCTACACCCCCGAATCATTTAAGACAGGGTCCTGCTAAGTTGCCAAGTTGCCCAAACGAGGCTCAAACTTATGGTGCTGCTGCTTTGGTCTCCCAGAATTCTGGAATTACAGACAGATGCCACCACGTCTGGCCTCCATAGGCTACATGTTAAAGATGGTCCCACATCAATACATACAAAAGTCCCTCTTTTTATGGCTTTATAGTATAACAATATATTGATATGCCACAAATTAGTCCACTATTACACTGTTTTCTGCCACTAGCAAAAATAAAACAAAAGCTTATACCTACTTCTTCACAGAAATCATTCACATCTTTGAGAAGACATTCCTAAAATATGAACCACTAGACAAAGAGCTATCTGCTTCTAAATTTTTGACAGTTGTTACCATATTGTTCTCTACAAAAGTAGCATGATTTCCACAATATAAAAGCGTGTTATCCCAGTGCTGTCATATTTAACAATTCTGTCAGTTGATACATCTGCTATCACATTGTCTCTATGTGCTTATGAAATAATTTAAATTCTTTCCCTATGTTCTTCTACCTGTCACACTCCTACCCTGTTTTTCCTTTTGGTATCTTAGAATTTTTCTCCTCAGTTTATAGGAACTGTTCTTAAAAACCAGGAATGAACTATCCATATTTGTTGCCCATATGTCCCCAGTGGGTTGTTTCTCAATCTTTTATGATGTTTCTCTACAAAGATAATTTCATTTGTAATAGTCAATATTTTCTATACTCCTTTCTTAGTGGGAGTCATAGTAGGCTAACTCTATGTTCAGACCTGTCTGAAAATTTAAAAAATAAAGTTCTTAATATAACACCAGAAATAAACCAATTCTTGTTTCAAGTTCATACTTCTTACCATGAGAATTTAAATTTCCTTATTCTTGGAAAATAGGAGGGCTCTGTTGTTTTTAATGGAGACTTAAACTCTGAATTTTTTAGCTTGTCTCATAAAAGATGGTGTAGTTTGGCTTTAAATACTGACAGTTTTTAAGAGACCTTTGGCAAATGCAAAATTTGTATTTTGTAACAATAGACTGTGAAAGACTGGCTGAACTCCTTAAGACTCAGCAGAACAAAGAGATTTACTACCATTTGACTGGTTATTAAATTAAATGGAGAAAATATAACCTTATAGTCCAGTATATTCATCCTGTTAGGCTATCATCTGAAGAACTATTAAATAAACAGCGTTTCTCCCCGGCAATATCCCCTTGGGGGGTTAGGCAGTAACTTTAGATTCTCTATGAGAATGTTAAAGTGGAGCCAAAGAGAAGATTCCAAACAACCAAAAGACACTCACATCACATAGGGTTAAAAAAAAAAAAAACAAAACATAGTGATCAAAAACACTAACACCATTAAAAGACAAAATGGAAAGCATTATTGTAATACAATGTGCTCTCACAAAATAATTACAGCTTAAGCTCTTGTATTTGGAAACATGCCTACTGGATCCTATGATGCAGGACACACTATTGCTTTCCGCACTGCACGCTACATACACTCAAGCCTTCTGCACATGGCTATATTAACAAGAATGAGGGGTGCTGGGGGTTTAGCTCAGTGGCATAAAGCGCCTGCCTTGCAAGCAGGCAGTCGTGAGTTCGATCCCCAGTACTGATAAAAAGGAAAAGACAAAAAAAAACCCCAAAAAAACCAAGAATGAAATTACCAGAGTCTGCCTGGTACATACTTCGCAGAGACTGTCTCACAACTGGTCCTTCCTTCTCTGAGGACTTCTCTAATCATCCTGAATATTGTCCCTCCTCTCTATCTACCTGCATGTACACAATCTCTGGATATCAGGGCATTCTAATCCCTCTTATATCTCTTGTTACCATCAAAAATTCTTTGCCCTGTACTTAACTTGTCTGAGCTCTACTTCCGTCTATGGAAGAATCTAGAAGTCTTGTTTACCACACTATTCCCAAACCCTAGTGCCTAGAAGAGGATGTGTCTTAATAAATCAGTGCTCATTCAATATTTGAAGCTTAATGTTCAAATCAGAGAGTTTCACAGTTAAATAGAGATGAGAGCTATCTAACTGAAGGCTGGCATCTTTCTGTCAAATAGAAACCTTCAGAATATAGAGATGTGTCCTTGCCCTGGAAGCCAGGCAGAACCGAAGGTTGTGGGAAATGTCTAACTGGAATTCCCATGGAATGATTCCAAACACAATATTTCTTTCTAGGCCTAAAAATCGACGGAGGCTGTCCACCACAATGTGATTATCTTGAATATTAGAAGCATCTGTGATCCGTAGTAATGGGACAAATGCCTCATTCATCTGAGACATCGTTCTCTTCCTTATTGCTTGTATAAACATACTTTTATACCTTTCTATTTCATTTGCCTTGAGGAAGAGCACAGCAATATCCTTGGGGGAATAACCATTCCTACAGAGAACCTGGCACTTCTCTATTACAAAGCTCACCATCTTCTCCACATCTAAGTATTCAGTGTGCTCTACATTGCCTGGAACACCCAGAGCCCACTTAGCTTTGTGGAGCATCACCAGGGACCCAGGGGGGATGTTAGGTGGAGGATTTTCTGTGACTTCCTGCATGACTTCCTGGAGATAGTCAGCTATTTTATCCGCATTTCGAACCACGATGGTCAGCTCTTCTTTTGGGAGCTGAGCTGAAAGAGGAGGGAGGCCAATGCAGCCCAAATGGTTAATCTCATAGTAATCCAGAAAAATCCAAAGAATTCCTGGACGGTCCTTGTCTCTCTGAGTGATGTGTTTTGCCTTTCCGTACCAGTCTCCATCTTCCGTGCAGAGATTCTGAGCTTCATCAACGATGATATGTTGAATCTCTTCAAAGTTATTTTTCATGAAAGTTTTCCGGTTCATTGCCAAGCAGATGTTTTTCTTGCTGAAAGTATAAGAAACCGTCAAATTTCCTCAGTCAAACAAAGGTAGCTGACTGTTCTTAAATGCTTCTGAGCATGGTAAATACACTATCAATCTTAATGTGTAAACTTAAAGCCACACACATCAGAGTTACCCATGGAAAGAAAGTGAAAACACCAAGCTACATACCTCACAAACCTCTTCAGGGGCTGGTTCTCACAGACGTACAGAATGTTTTTTTGTTCGCAATGAAACACATTCTTGATCTTCTCCATAATCTTAAGAGCCACCATAGTCTTCCCCGATCCAGGTAAGCCATGAACAAATAGCTCTCTGTTCCTGCGAAGATTCTTTGAAAACAACTTATACTGCTGATCCGTGAGTAAACTCCAGACCTCAGAGCCCAGCTCATCACTTAAGAATGACCTGAAGCCACGCAAGACAATCACAAGGGATTTCAGCAGAGCTTCCATGTGCTGGATGGTTGTAAGGCAATAGGACTCGGGGTAAATTGGTACTTCTGAACTTAGAGGATTGTTTTCTATTCTACCACAATTCAGCACGCAGACCAACGGAATGATGCATAATCTCTCAGTGTAGCCGCCTCTGTTCACCAGCCTCTGCTTCAAAGAATGGGCGACCTTCATAGAATAGTTCTTACACCCTGCATTCCATTCACTGAAAACAGAGTAAAGGATTGGGGTGTTCTTCTGGGAAATTAAAAGAGCATCACAGATGACATACTGATTCTCAGGTAGACCCAAGTCCACGGCCCAGCTTTGAGAAAAAATCAGTATTCCTTGAGAGACAGAGCGCATTTCCATGTTCATTAATTCTCTGAGTCCTCTATGCTGTGAGAAGAGTTCCTTGTAGATGCTTTGTGGAGTATACAAAATTCTGTCTGGATATACTAGATAGGAAAAGAATTGGAGTAAGTTAGAGAACCTCTTACCAAGCTAATGATCACATGAGATGTAGTAGATTCACTCACTATTTGGGCTCTACCATATGTCCACACTAGGTCGTGCTTTAGCAGCAAAAAGACAAATGATTCTTTGTCTAGTAGAGTTGATAATGGCCTCCACAAACAGAGACAATAATCATTATGATACAAAGTACCCAGAAAAAAATACACAGAGCATTATGTGAACATCAAGAAAAGAAGACTATGCAAATCTTAATGAAGAAAGAGACAGCTGACTCTAAATGGGAGTTAGCCTGGTTAGAGGATGAGAGAACAGAGAGACAGTCAACAGGGCGTGCATAAATAAACAGAGAAGAAAAGCAACAGCAAGATTAGGGTGCCACAGTAACAGGACTTCCTGTAAAGCAAAGGAACAGCTCTGGAGAACAGATCCACAATGCCACAGGTGAGGGACAAGGGGACAGTATGACCACAAGCGGGCAAAATGAGAAAGTTTTATTTCTGGAGGATGGAACTGTTTTGTATCTCAACTGTGGTGGTCACACAAAAATGGATGCACTTTAAAACTGATAACTGCACAGTAAAAAAATTTGTTTCATGATATACATATGTAACAATAATTTTAAAGGACTTTTAAAAGACTCACATATAGCATACATAAGGAATACATATGGTATGTATGAAAAATATACACAGTGCATACATTGAATATATACATATTTTTTAATTTGGGAGGATCACAAATCCTAATTTGTAATCTCACCAAAACTATCAGCTCTCATACAATAAAAATATCGAATACATACAAAATCTGAATGTCAAATTTAATATAGAAGAATCAAAGATGGATCCAGATTTCTGTGCTTGGCTGGAGAAAGGATGTGCTTAAATCTTTTCATTTTCTTTAAGTATGCTTGAGGAGCACAGGTTCCTGATTTAATGTCCTGAAACTACCAATCTTTTTGTTTGATATCTCTACATCTATTTTAAGAAATCCTTTCCTACCCCAATGGCAAAATTATCCACGCAGGTTTGCTATTAAAATTTTTGAAGGCTTTTTTCTAATATTTAAGTCCTTAAGCTTTCTGAATTGTACATAATACAACACAGAAATCAAAATATTTTTCCCATATACAGGAACATGTCCCAAAGAACCAGAAAAGAGACAAATTACCTGGAAAATAACTTTTCTGTTGTTCTTCTAGACCCTCTAGATTCTGATGTATGCATATAGTCCTGCCTCTGGGTGTCGTAGACGACAAACTCAGCTCAAGCACCATCTGAGGAAACCTGGAAAGATCTTAGGAAACAAAAACCGAGAACTCAGTATGCAAAAAGACAGATCCCAATTTCCAACTGAGCTGAGTTATAACTCACAGACTTGACCTACAGAGATTTGTGTTTATATCCCCAGTCAGCTCAGGAAAGTTTACTAAAGATTTGAGAGGGGAAAACATCCTGGGAATGAACAATTTTTGGTCTTTAATTTTATTATATTGAAACAAAACTTCTTGTATTTTAGAATGTTGTTTTTTAAAAAGAAATATGATTAGAAGATGTGATGGTCAATCAATATATATTTCTCACCAGATAAATTATGAAATGGGCTTTACTTTTTCTGTACTTCTGAAGAAGTTATCACTGATTTTCTTTGTTTGGTTTTTTGGTTTTTTGGTAGCAGGGATCAAACTCACTACCTCGTGCTTACAAGGCAGGAGCTTATGCCACTGAACTAAATGCCCAGTCCTCGCTGATTTTCTTTTGTCTGATTTTAACTTCCCTTTTCCAAAGTAGATGCAAATCACAACATTACTCTTTAGCTTATCAGTCACAGATAGCATCACATCTATCACACCAGAGGAAAACTGCTTTGTTCATGTTTTGATTTAAAAATGGGAATGGAATATATGTATATTTACAAAAGCCTAAAAGAATTTCATATCTTTCTACTACCAAGTAATGATAAATGTCTGAGCGGATAGATATGCTTTGAGATCAATTTGAGCATCACACAGTGTGCACATCTATTGAAACCACTAAAATTGAACACTCCTTAAATATGCAAAATTCTGTGTCAGTTTAAAAAGTAAAACAAAGTAAAATGGAATTGTGAAGAGAATATTCAATACAAAAGACCAGACAAGAATAAGAAGTCAGACAAAAGTGACAGAAAGTTAAAAGACACATCTGTATATGTGTACACAACTCATGAAAGACTAAGTTGAATTTCGTAGTCTGAAAGAGATTTTCATTCAAACATAAGAAAGGACATGAAAGTAGAAATAACTCGATCAAACTAACCCTAACCCCTGCACCAACCTCAGGGTATCTGCTGAATGCAGAATATTCAAGATGGCTAGAGGAAAGAAAGGGGAATGGCCCAGCTCTAGGAATTAATGTCAGGCATCTGCAACTCAAGAAAGAATCTCTCTTCCCCAATTGCAAAGAATTCCATACCTCCCTCTCCTCTCTTCCCAAGCCCTCTCTAGCAAATATTGCAATGAGTTTTGGTCTTGAACCCTGACCTGGGTCAGCTTCCACCATCCAAGTCGCCCATTCCTTTGCGGTCAGCTGTCTCACTAAGTTGTCTTTCACCTGCCAGGAGCTAGGCAGTTGGGCAAACGCAGCACAGCAGAACTGGTCCACTTTGATCGCAAGGACATATCCATGGAGGATCCTCTTATCAAGTACTTCAAGGAATTTGAGGTCATACTGAATCTTATGGTTCTGTGTACAGAAATGATGGACTGGTAACCTCTTTATACAGCTGTCAATAGACTCTCTCAAGGTGACAAGATTTAATTTCTCTTTTTCACATCCAATGACCTGACAGCTCCTATCATGCACACCAAAAAAAATATATCCTCCTTCAGTATTGGCAAATGCAGAAACATACTTGGGGAGTGTTTCTTTAATATGTTGCAGCATGTCTGTTGTGAACATTTGGAATTCAACATGCATGGACTCAGTAAAGTTGAGTTTTTCCAGATACTGAAGCTGACGGCTTCTAAATAATGTATTCGCCAAATTCCTCATGTCACCTTCATCTTGTTCACCAGCCCCAGCTTCCGGGAGACTCAACGAGTTATGATCAGGATTATTCATAGGTGTCTGAGTTTTCCTTCTAAGGAATGCCAGTGCTTCCTGGGAATCCATGACCACAATACCAGAGGGTCCAAGCCTCTGGTACAAATTGGAGCACAAGGTAGCAAGTCGTAACCCAGTGGCCTCTGTGTTCCACGACTTCACATATATTAAAAACAGCTTTCCCTGTTGCATCTGATCTAAGTAGTCACTGAAAGGCAGATGCATCCCTACTCCATGACTTTCATAATGGTATTCTTCATTTTCAATCTCAGCCTTGATCACGCCTCCACCAGAATTCAGCAGAGCACATATTGCTTGACAGATAGCTTCAGCCTGTTTCTCTCTCAATAAAGGGTTCATTCTCAACCTTTGCTCAGTTCCAAGAGTGACTTTTCCTATATCTATAACATACTCAGCAAATTTGGTTTCCAAATCAATCTTGAGACTCATCTTGGCCCTTGGATGATTATTCTGAAATGTTCTCCTAAAACAAGAAAGATAGAACCATTAGAATACGACAAGAGTAGAGGAGGCAGGAAGATTATGTAGACCCAACCCTCTGAAGATGAGGTCTTCACTTATTTTGAGGCTAGATTCTTTCAAGAATGAAGTATATACAACAGGCAGAGGAGCTAACTCTGCTAGATGACCACTGCCACCTAAAAATGACCAAGAGATTGTGTGTCTGCTGTAATATTATTTTTGCCAAGTTGACTGAATAGCAAGAACTTTTGGACCACTTGCAGAAAACAGGACATTTTATAATACTTGTAGAATGGAGCTGGAATGTAACCAGACAAGCTTCCTGATCAGCAGTATCTCTGAGATGTACTGATGGTTTTTGTTTTTCCTGGCTCTTTGTCTTTCTGTTCTCACTGAGACCTGGGTAATTTTGGATTATTTTGTAGTTCAGTTTGGGGATGTAACAAATCTGATTGCATTGGTGATGCACACTGTTGCTATGGAGTAGATCTCTACCAACTCTTGATCTAGCTCCCGTCTGGTAAAATGTATGGATGTGTGTGCATAAATACATACATAAATATGTATGTATGTGTATATACATACTAGCTCCATTTCCATGAGCAGGGGCCACAGCGGGCAGTTTCAACTATAACAAAGAGACACAGGCGAGACTGAGAGCAGAACCCTGGCAGCAGCTTGGTGCACATTCAGGTTGCATAGTAGCTGTACAAAACACCAAGCAGCAATGCAGAAAGAGTGCCTAACGCCAGTGGAGGAAAAGGATCTGAGATCCTGCAGGTAGTAATTCTGTGGGTACACAATGAAAACATCAGGCAAAAGAGCTCAGGTTGATGTTAGGGTATTACCAGGAAAAGTCACATGTCCAGCCTGCCAAGAATTGCTACAGGAACGGCAGGTTCTAGAAGAATTTACCTGTATCTCAAACCTAGTCTTAGCCTTATGGGACCACAAAATTAATATTTAGGACTCCAGAGTTAGTAAGGCAGAGGAAAGTTTACTTGTTACCCAAAACTCAACACAGACTGAAGTGTATGAGCCACACTGAGAGCTGATCACGACTGGGTGGGAAAGTTATCATCCAGGAGCCCAGGCGTCTGCCTCACACCGATACTTTACTCTCTTCCTGCAGGCCGAGGACCTCAGTACGGTGCTTAATAAGTGTGGGCGCAGATCAGAAGGCACATTTTGTGACTTGAGTGTCCTCAATATCCAATAATCTTATGCAGTTTTGCTACTAAGCAATTACTGGAGAGAAGAGAGACAGTATACTGTAATATACTGTATATTTAGTTGTGGAGTGAGAAAATCTGGATGTTTTGTGAAATTAAGACTGAAAAAAAGTCATGGGTGTCTAGATATAAACAGGAATCCTGTGAGCATTGCTTTTCACAGACAATGATTAGAAATAAACTGTCGTACAGCATACGAGGTACGGAAATCTATTACACACACCATTTTTAATGAACTCTAAGAAAATAATATCTGAAAAATAGTTAAAGCACAGAAGAGTACATTCAGCCTAATTTCACTTATATGAAATTCAAAAACATGCAAAAATAATACGTTGTTTAAGGACACATCCACAGGTGTATGCTACAAAGAAATGTGTTATAAATATAAAATTCAAATTAGTGGCACAAGAGAAAGAAATTAAGAAGGGACCGGAATATGGGAAGAATATACAGGAAGCTTACCAGATTCTAGATATACATTTTTTTAAATACACAGTGAGTATATAGGTGTTAATTTTACTATTATTTTAACTATATAGTTATATTATTATTTAAATATGTGATAAATTTTACAATGTGATTACCCCAAAATGAAATGGGTTTTCAATAGTTTTTTAAGTGCAGACGAAGCACGTCGACAAGTGGGTAAAGGACCCTTACGGGGCACCCCTCACCTTCCCTGGTCCCTCACATGTCTCTTCTTCCTTGTTAAAACCCTTACACTATTTCCTGATCCCAAAAATACACAGATCAGATTAGGTTCTGCTAACACACACACACACACACACACACACACACACACACACACACACTTGCTATTTTCTAAATACAGATTCAATGTTCCTGATATCATTTTTATTTAAATTAACATTTCCCAGTGGTGAAAATAGCATGTTTGAAAATGTAAAAAACAACTGGAAACAGGATCAAAGAAAAACAACACTTACAGAGTCACTATTTAAAGATTTAACGTTTCTGTTGAATTGCTTTTGGACTTCTCTTTCAACACTTTTTTGTGCTGTTGGTTTGCAAGGCTACCTATAAATAAGAATTATCTGTCTTTTTTTCTTTTAAATTTCCTAGATGTGCCTTTTGTAGGCTTTTCTTAACTAGAAAAATAAGGAGACTTCATTTTAGGAATTCCAAGAAGATAGCTTTGCCTCATAAGCCACTGAAAAGCATTCAGAAATGTATAAACCAGCATATAAAAGTATTAAGAACGCCAAGTACAGTGCAAATCTGACGAGGCAGGTTGAGAACCCCAGCGTGAGAGGCCTGCAGCTATGGAGTTTGGACGTTGCTGGTCATATTTACAGGTCTCTAAGTAGGAAGAAAATCGGTGACTCTCTGGATGGAGGTGGTGGCAATTTGAACTGGACATTTTCTGTACCTCAACTGACAACACAGAATCTCATAAGAAGGAGCCCTGAGGACATGTTGGCATACTTTTTTTTTGTCCTGAGGACATGTTGCTACACTTTTTTTTTTTTTATCAGTACACGTTTTTCAGTACACAGTGATCACCTTCATTGTGGGGAATTGGAACATGTGCACAACACGTCTTAATTCTGTTATTTTCTCTTCTATCCTTCTCCCTCTCTCCATATCAAGATTCCCTTCCCATTTGCAAAGTATCTGTCTCCCTGGTTCCTAATCTCCATCCCTTATTCTGCTCTTTAAAATATGTATACCCTGGGTTTCTTCTGTAAGAGAAGCCAGGAGATATTTAAGCCTGTGTCTGGTTTATTTCATTTACCTTTACAACCACACAACGGGCTGAAGAACAGATATAAGGAACATGCAGCTCTGCAGATGAATCTGTGACAGATCTATGGCAGTTGAGAAGGAAGAAAGAGCAAGTAAACCAATTCACACAAAATTACAAAACAATCTACTATAGGGGATTGTACCATAAGCAGAGATTCCAAATCTTATGCTTTCTGAACAGTGTCCTGTTCTGCCCCCATATCTCTTCCCTCATGAAATTAGATGCAGAAAAGCTGGTGGCAACCCACAGAAGAAGCAAACCCTACCCCCTGGATAACCGTGAAGGTTAATTCCAGAATGACTGCAGCTAAGGGGTCACCAATCAAAATCAGAGCAGCTGGGTAGCAGACTTCAGTGGGTGGTGCCTGAGATTACACAGCTGAGATAATACTTAATATATTAAACTGAGGATATGAAGAGTTTAGGGATGAATTAGTAAAGAGACAGAGGAAAAGCTGCATGCACACGTATAAGCCAACAACTCTACGGTTAAAATGGTAGAAGGAACAATATAGCTGTAAGGCAGTCTATGTCTCAGTGGTAAATAAAACAATAAAAACTGTATTGTTCTGGCCAGAAATAATGGCAAAACTGTATTGGCAAGAGGTGGAGAAACAAGGGATAGCATAAGGAGTGTTAGAGAACTTACCTTCCAAACACTGGATATTCTCTGCCACGATGTGCGTGTTCGGTCACCTCATTGTTTTAATCACACTAAGCCCCGGGATGATGGTATTAGGAGACGGGGCTTTGCAGGGAGGAAAAGAAGTCCAAGGGAGCTCACTGCCCCCACTATCAGCTGAAGACATAGTGAAAAGTGCCAGCCTCGTACCAGAAAGAGGATCCTCACCAGACACATTCAGTCTGACCTTTCCAGCCTCCAGAAGAGGGAGAAATAAATTCCTGTTGTTTACAAACTACCCAACCTATGGCAGCCCAAATTGACTAAGACAATATTTAAAACAGGAAGTGGCAACTGAAAAAGAATATAAACATGCTGTTTGGAAATACAGAAACCAATGGGCAGGTCTAATGGCAAGCTTGGCTGAGAGCAGAAGGGGCGACAGTAAGGGGTCACTCATTCTCTTGCTACAGTGTCTTTAGGAACTGTGGCTTTCCACCTATATACGTGAGAGCTCCACTTCAGTCCCAATGGAGTACCAGAGCCTAGATGATGTTTCTGCCCTTCCTGTAACAACTAAAACTTTTCTGATGAAATAATATCCAGAAATTTCCCAAATTTGATGAATACTATAAAAATCAAGACCAGGATCTAAGATATTCCAGCAACCCCACATGCAAGGAACACAGAGCACATCATAATTAACGTGTTCAAAAGCACTGATAAATTTTCAAACACTAAGAAAAAGAAAGACTTACTGCATACGCAGGAACAATGGATAACATTAGTTTTTTGAAGTTTTAGAGGCATTGTATGTCTTAGTGGTAAATAAAACAATAAAAACTGTACTATTTTTTAAAACAATAAAAAAGTGTATTGTGTGATGTTTGGGGCATTTGTTTTGATTTTGGTTTTTGTAAAAAAAAAAAAAAGGTAAGCAAATATAGAATCAATTGATATCTTTAAGCCACCAGAAGAAAAATAAAATAAAACCTACCAACCTACAGTTTTATGCCCAGTAAAAAATATCTTCCAGAAATTAAGGTGACTCCATATCTTGAGTTGCCTTTTAATCCTTGGGCTGATTCACATATTTAACTCATAAGCCCTCCACTTTGTAATGAATAAAGTTGTGTTTTCTGGGCAAAAGAAAGAATTAAAGTGACTCAAAAAACAAACAAAAAAGATAACCCAGTTTTTGCATGAACAAAAGACGTGAGAAAACATTTCTCCAAAGAAGACACACACATAGCAATAAGCATATGAAATGATGCTTACCTCGGCATTAAAAAAGGCAAATCAAAACCACAAGATACCACTTCACACCCAGTAAGATGGCTTTAGTGTAACTGAGACGTAAAGAGTAGAGATTTTGGAACAATCATACATTAATGGTAGAAACATAAACATGAACAGTTGTTTGAAAAGAAGATTGCGAGTTCCTCAAAACATCAAACATAGAATTACCATGTGACTCAGCAGTTTCAATCCTGAACACATACCCAAAAGAACTGGAAACAGGTACCCAAACAAATCTCTGAGATTCAACCTACCATGAATGGTCACAACACAATAGCCAAAAGGTGGAAATAACCTAAATGTCTGTCAGGGGATGAATGGATAAACAAATCTGGCTATACAGCTATCACTCATTACCATAGAAAGGAAGGAAGAATTAATGCGTGCATTCATATAGCTGATCCTGGAAAACCTGAATTTAAAAAGTCAGACACAAAAGCTTACTGAGTATATTATACTATTTATATGAAAATGTCCAGAATGAATAATATCATTGAAACAGAAAAGAGGTGGTTTTCAAGGGCTAGGAAGTTGTGGGAATGGGGTATAACTGCCTGATGGGTTTTATTTTGAGATTTATTAAAATGTTTGGAAGCTTGAGAGATATATTGGCTATGCAACATTCTGAATACACTGAATCCCACTGCTGTATTCACATTACAGTGCTTAACTTTGTTATGTGAATGTCACCTCAATTTTTAAAATTAACTTAAAATTAAAGGTTAAAGAAAGCGTGAAACAAATGGGCACCAACAACAAAACCCAGGTACCACACTGAGAATAAACAGTTGAGAATTCAGTACAAAGAATGAGCAGTCAGAGTCCATGAGGATTTATCACAATGATGTAGACCCAACAAGCCGTTGGCACCAAACAGCAAGGGCCCTCCGAGGTACCACGTCTGGTGGAAGGCTGAGGCCACGGTGACCAGCAATGCAGATGGCACCTCTTGGTACCTCCAGAAAAACTGTGAACACTAATAAAGACCTCCCAGGTGAAAACACACACAAGCCACTTATTCAGCACTCACCGTGATGACTGTGTCAGTCTCCAATGTTTGTGTTTGGTAGGGATTCATGACAGACAGAACTGTGGAAAGCTTTATCATGACAAAATGGGAATGCTCAGATAGATGTGATTTGAGATCACTGTCCAGAGGAAAATGAGATGAGCACGGAAATAGAATATCCACATGATTAGTTTAGAGACCATATTTCACTTCCTCTAGTTAAAAATAGGAATAAAGATTAGGGAAGCTGACAGTTATTGTGCAAGTACAAAGGTTATGGTTGTGCTTCCTGGTTAGTTCCTGCAGAAGGTGTAAGTCAAAGCTCTGTTTTTCTGTGCGACGTAGCCATGGTCTCTGAGTGTATGTATCACCTGATTCCATATGCATACAACTTTAGAGAATGCAAACTAACACAGCAGCAAAAAGTCACTATTTCTTGGGGAGGTATGGCAGGAGTAAAAAAGGAAGAATTACAAAACAGTACAAAAAACTTTTGAAGGTGACACATGTTTACCATCTTGATTGCAGTGATGGTTTCACATATGTCAAAATTTATCAAATTGTAGACTTTACACAGGTGCAATTAATGTCAACGATACCTCAAAAAATCTATTGAAACTACATACATGAACTGGGCAGTGTGTACTTGTCTCTAATCCCAGATACTGGGAGGCTAAGGCAAGGATTGCAAGCTCAAGGCCAGCCTGGGTATGTAGCAACTCGCTGCCACTTCCCTTGCCCACCCCTCAGATCTGCCAACCCTACCCTCAGCAGAAGCCTATTGCGGAAGAGCAGGCTTCCCTAATCACAGGAAGTTTCTCTCCTCACAGGTCCCTAAAGGCAGGAAGCCTTCTGCCCAGAGAGATTTTCTTCCCTAACAAAGCTAGCCTGTAATACTTTCAGAGAACACTGTTCTGGCCTGTGCACATGTCCACTCATCTTAAGTGATACTGTAATTACTAGTGGTTGTTCATTTAATGTCCTATAGCTATAACAATAACCGAGTTCGATTTCTGTTTCTGACAGATACAAACATTTGTAAGTTTCGTAATCAGGCCAGTGGGTCCTCACTTTTCTCTTTTTTCATCTGCCTGGAGAGAGCAAAACTTGTGACGATTCATTTTTTTTAAAATAGGTACCAGGGATCGAACTCACGACCTCACGCTTGCCACGCAAGGCGCTTATGCCACAGAGCTAAATCCCCAGCCCAACGATTGTTTTCCTAACCCATTTTTAAACTGTCTTGTTGAAAAGTTGTGAGGCATTTAAACGCATGCTCTTGATACAGGATCTTTGTGGCTAGCCACCTGGCATCTAACCACAGGAAGTCTCATCTCCACCCTGATCTGATTATGAATCAGTTTCTTTTTCTCCAAGCAGCCAGGGCTAGGGCCATCGCTTTGCTTTCCGGTAGGGTAGGGTGACGCAAAATTTAAAGACCAAACCGGGACTGGGCTATAGCTCTCCAGCACAAGCGCCAGGTCCGGAGTTAATTCCGGGTACATTTCTTTCTTTCTTTCTTTTTTTTAAAGCCACCATCGTCCCTGGGGGCTGGGGTCTGATTGTCACCGCTTCCATCATCATTACCCGGGCAGAAGAACTTGAAGAGCTGTCGCCTAAGCCCCTCGGGTCCTTTCTCTCCCCCTATAGAGTCCTGCGGGATTCTCCCGGCTCTTCGCACAGTTGGTGCAAGGGAAAGCGCACACTTAGCGGCAGCTTTATGGCAAATGCGAGCCTTCGCCAGCTCTCTGGGTGAGACGCTCCGACTGTGTGCCCAGCCAAGGTTTAGAGGCAGCACTCGGCACTCAGCCCCTGCTGACAGCCTGGACACTGGCCCTTTCTGTCCCCAGGCCACAGCTTCACCTGACTGAATCCGCGGGCGCCTCTGTACCTGGTTTAGTGGGTTCCCCTCAGGTCTTTGGTGCTGCTGAACTGTGAGCAAATCCGACCAGGCTTGGTTTGGCAAAGTTTAGGCCGAGCTGATTCCCGCCTCTCCCGCGCCCCAAGCCTCCCAGGCCCCGGGTCCCCCCAAACCTGCTGTCCTCAGAATCAACAGAGAAGGGAGGAAAGAAGCTCTCAGGAGTGTCCAAACATGGGGAGCAGCAGGCGCGGCTCGTGCCTGCGCCCCAGCTTTTGGAAAAACTGACCCGGGGGTCTCGGAGACTTTCCTACCCGGCCGAGATCCTGCTCTGCAGCGCGTCTCCCTCCGGTGTAGCAGGGACCCTGACGCTCCCTACACGGGCGGGTCCTTATATCTGCGGAGTCTGCTGCCACCCAGGGGCGGGGACAGATAGCGGGGGAGGGAGAGGCACAGGGAGCCGGGGCGGGAGCGCAGCCGGGGCGGGACCCGGAGAGGGAGCGGCAGCCGCGGCAGGGTGGGCAGGGGCAGGGGCAGGGGCAGGGGCAGGGGCAGGGGCAGGGGCAGGGGCAGGGGCGGGGGGGGGGCAGAGACACAGGCAGCCTCTCCTCTCTCTGCTGTCCCTCTCCATCTCCCTTCCCCTCTCCCTCTCACCCTTCCTCTCCCTCTGGATTTACAGGTTGTTTCCCTCAAGCAATGGGGAGATGGGGCCACTGGCTGGAGGGGGGACGCAGACAAACAGGTCTACCACTTTCACTTCCACCTGCCCAATGCTTCTAAGATGTGGATTCGGCTGCCTGCTTTTGCGAACCGTTCACGTGTAAAGGGGCCACGCCTGGTGTTAAGTGCCGCCACCCACCCAGCAAGTGCGCCTTCCAGAGTGTGGCTGCAGGGGCGGACCCGGCCTGAAGGTTCAGTGATGGGAAACAGAAATTTGTGTAAAGTCTTCGGCCACTGCACACTTCATTACAAGAAGGCCTTACAGGGGACCCCGTTTTCAGTTTGTTCGTTTTACTGCACGAGTGCGGGGCATTGGCTTGACCAAGCCCGACCCTGGCACCTGCCTGTGTGTGCGGTGACCAGCTGGTGACTCACGTTGGGGACCGGCTGCAGCGCGGGAAGTCCGGGAAACGAGGAGTGGGTGGCATTCCCCACCCAGAGTGTGAGCAACTTTTGGCGAATCCTGAGGACTCAGTCGAATTCTGACTCCAGCTGCTCCTCCTTCTTGATGAGCAAAATGAATAAACTTTTGCATCTTAAATCTTTCAATTCCTTTGCCAGAGCCCCAAAGGAAACCGCACTCTCCTACACTACCGAGGAAGCTGCCGGCAGAATTTCGTTCTCCCAGCACTCGCGCTGAGAGCCAAGAGTCTCCCGATGCTTTTGACGTGTCCGTGGGTGATTAAGCGCTCTCTGTGTGTGTGTATGCGCGCGCATGCGCGCGCGCACTGAGACACGTGTGTTTGTTATATGTTGGGTTCCGGGCTTGATTTTACTCATGTGCAGTGTTTGATTTACTTAGGCAGGTGGGAAAGTGAAATTGGCTCCATAGTCTCCTGGCACCCTTCCTGGGATCTTTAATTCGCAAACAATGAGAGAAAATACTTCCCAAAGATGTCCATGTCCCAATCCCTAGAACCTGCAAACATGCGATATTATAAGGCAAAGGGGAATTAAGGAGCTGAGCATGGTACCTAAATCTGTAATCCTAGCACTCTGGGAGATTGCAGCAGGAGGATCACAAGTTTAAATCCAGCCAGAACAATATAGTAAGACCGCATGCAAGTGCTGAGAATTTAGCTCAGGGGAAAGACCCTGCATGCTGTCCTCAGTATCCTCCCACCAAAGGACGGGGGACTGAATGTGACAGATGGAACTTAATCAACTGACCTTAAAATAAAGAGATTCAACATGGGAAAAGAAGGCATCAGAGGTATGGAATGTAAGAAAAGCTTCACTGGTGGGGCCTAGCTTTGAAAATGAAAGAGGCTACACCGCAGTTCTTATGCAGAAAAATCTTTTTCTAGCCTTTGCTGTTTTTCCCTTTAATAGGTGCTTTAAGTTAAGACTACAACATCAATATTATGACTTTGTAAGTGAAGAAACTGATGTCACCATTTTTTTTGGAGTGCTATGAAATACATACTCACTAGGGTTCCTCTGTCAAAACTTTAAAAGAAACAGTTGCTTTGGAATTAGGTGTAGCTGCAGTGGAAACTCTCCAACTTTTGGGGTGTTTGGGTTTTGTTTTGTTGAGTCAGACTAGCTACATACATGAGGCTGGTGCTGATTTCTCAGGCATGTACAGCGAACTTGGTGAAACTTTCTAGGTTTTCATGATCTATTTTACTAGATCTATTTTACTAGAACTTTTAGAGGAAAATGAGTTCAGAATAGAATATTATTAATCGTTATAAGTATTGTGTACTACAGTTTCCTTTTCGAGACTTGTCTGTCATTTGTGTTCTTTTTAAGTCTGTTTGGTAATAAACAACAGTTGTTTTTGCCCTAATTGGCTAGGTAAAGTATGTGTGATTGTTGACCACACAATGCTTTATGCAGAGACAAGAAACACACGTGACACCCAATTTATGAAGGGTTGGCTAATGACTTTTAAATTTTACACTGATCTAAGTGATACAACTTTAGTTTAGAAACCACACTTGAAGTTTTGAACTTTGAACTTTTAACCAGGCTAGCAATATACAAGGATGGTGTTGCGGACACCAGTACTTGGGACCTAAGCAGTAGCCGTAGTTCCCAGTCAGCCACATAATCAGGAAGGTTTGTGACACTGTCCAGTCTATTGTGTTACTGGGCTGCTGATGTTGTGGAGATGGGTATAGTGAATAATAGATCTTTATCTTCTGATGTCTTCAACTTAACAGTGTTTGATCAGGATGAAACCCTTTCAAAAGGTGAACTCTGTAGGTTACGGCAGGAAATGTCTTCAGCTACTACAAAATGTATAGCCTTTCTGGGGACTCTTCAAAATGGGATCTCTAGGTACTAGGTAGTATGAGGCAGTAGAGACAGCATGGATCTCAGAATCTGGCTATTTTGGCACTGTGAAACCTGGGGTAAATTGGTCTTTGCATCTGACTTTTTATTTAGTAAAGAGTACAAGTCTATGTCTCAGATTTGT